GGGATGATTTGCAATTAAAAGCGGGCGCGGCACGGGCCGACTCGTTAACGTAGACGCGATTTGGCAGGACGCAAGATCTCGCGTGGAACGTAGCATGACCTGATTCTACTTTCGAATCTATCTTTAAATCTCGGGTTGTGTGCCCGCGCACCACGCTCGAGGGATGTATCTGGCCGTGCTAACGAACCCTCGCCAACGAGACACCTATATAGAGACCACCACCGGGTTCATCCAATTTCCTCCCACCCTTTCATCCTCGACACGAGCCGTGAATGGTAGAGACGTGTCGAGACGCGTCGAATTTAAAAGGCGGTTTAAATTTTCCCGTGAAATTCCGCGTTCGTTAAATTTCGCGCCACGGTTCGAACCTTCCTTTTCGTTCCCGTTTCGAGGAACAACCGCGTTTTCGAAACGCGTCGCATCTAAAAAGGAAAAAAGAAAAAGGGAAAAATCGACGGCGGGGTGTTTCGTTCCTTTTCATCTTTTTCCCTTTTTTAATCGTTATTTTATATCGAATGTGCGTGTATATATGTATATATGCATGAGAAAGGGTATTTTATTTTGCAGGAAATTTCCCAATTTTTCGCGTGTATTTCAATTTTTGAAAGAGGGCGAAATGCGCGCGAGTGCACGCGTTATTTGTTCGATCAATGCGCTCCGTTACAACGCTCCGAACAAAATTCTGACGCGTTGTAGCAAATTGAAAATTATGCATCGAAAATATATAACTCGATGTCCCAAATCTTATTCTTTTCCTCTTTTTCGTTTTCGTTTCGGTTACTCATATCGACGAATTAATTGATAAATCATCGTGCAACGGGAGGATGTTTAGGTTCGACTGTTTAGGTTAATCGGGGATTCGAAAGAAACGATAAGGCGTTGCAAGGTATCGTTATACGAATCCATTCGTCTCATTTCAAGAGACGCGATTCTCCTCGATCATTTACTCGGTATCCCTCTTTCTACTCTCTACTTCTACGCTCTCAACCTCCTCCCTCGACCGACTTCTTTTCAATTTTGAAATTTTCACCCTCTCCGCCGAGGAAGCGACGTTTCACCCGCGTTCTCGAGAGTACGAAACTCTCGTTATGTACGAATGGATCAGAGGTTTGAAACGGAGTTATGAAACGATCGTGGATCCCCCATCCACGTCTCCTATTACTTATTCACTATCGGTACATATCTGCACGCTGCCTGGGCTTGAATATTTTATAAAAAGCATTGGCCGTGTCGACGCGATACCGAATCCCCTCGATGCGCGTTCACGATCGGGCGAATCGTAAAATCGATGAGGAACGACTCTCTCTTTCTCTGTTTCGCTGCGAATTCCGAATTTCCTCGAATTGTCTTAATTCGAGCGACCGATTTTTCGCGCGCGCGAAAAGGATGGGATGAAAAGGATGGAGACGTTGCACGAAATGTCGATAGATTCCTCCGGGTCAAACCGGGTCCTCGCTCGCTTCCCGACTTCTGTTTAATTTTACAGCCCGCCCATTCATCGGCCGCCTCCCCTCCACTCCACTTTTTTCTCAAGTAAGAAGCACCGGCGACCACGGTCAGACGAGCTCCTTCCACTCGCAATTAACTCGAAAAACTTGAAATTCGCGAGCACCGATTAAAACCATTTACGCTCGCTCGTTTAACGGGAAGAAATTCCGCGTGAAAACTTGGAACGAACTCTGCACGTCTCTTTCCTTATTTCTTCCCTTCACCAACCAAATATCCCCCCCCCCTCCCCAAAATATATATAAAAAAATATATCCAGCTCGAATTTCTCGAAATCGTATCTCCCGTTTCATCCATCCCTCCGTCTTATCCATCGTCCCTACACCCTCTCTCCCCTCGTTAGTGCGTCGAAACTACCCCTCCGAAATTCCGAAAGATTTCAATCGTAACCGACATTCCATCGTGCATCGCGATCATCAACGAGCTGCAGGTGTGGACATCGGCTACGCGAGTGAAACGATTGCTCCTTTCCTCCAACGTTCATTGTGTCCCATTCTCTTCCCCTCCCTCCCCCCCCCTCCTCCTCTCCTTCTCCTAGTCGTCCTCGTCCTCGTCGTGTTCTTCTCGTTCCGTCGAACGAACACCAACCCCCTCTTCCCCCCTCTTTCTCGCATCGAAAGTGGACACATGCTCGGCCCTAGCCACCGTCCCTACGAATTCCAGGGATCAATGCGTCGGTGCGCCAAAACGCCTGCGCCATCCCCACCACGAACGCTCAGGCCGAGCACCACCACCACCTCCACCACCACCACCACCGGCACCAGCAGCACAACCAGCACCACCATCAGCAGCAGCGCAGCAGCGACAACGGCGGCGACGACCACGACCACGATCACGGTGGTGGCAAAGGTGAGAGTGGAGGTGGTCGAGGTGGTGGTGGTGGTAGCGGCGGCGGCGGCACCGACGATCTCCACCGAGATACGAACGAATCCCACGAATATATTATATACACGTAAAAGTACGTGGAAGCGTGCCGCCTCTCCTATCGTTTGCTTCCTCAAATTTCCGCTGGAGAAAATTCTTCTCCTATCCCTATCCTCCAGTAGCTAAGCACAGCTGAGCAGAACCTCCACGGAACAATCCTCTCCTCCGCATTCTCCCCACGTCGCGAACCACCTCTCTCTCTCTTCTCCCTTCGTTCGAGAGGGCGCTCCCCTCTCCTTCGACGTGCGCGGTGCCCGAGCCTCGGAAATTCTGAGAGCGGTTCGCGCGTGTGCAGCTGGCGCGGGGGTGGCAAGGGACCGAAAATCGAGGTGAAAGGAAACTCCGCGGATCCGGCCTAAGGGTCTCTCCTAGGGCTGGTGCGTATTTATTCGTATTTGTTAACGTTCCTTCTCTTCGCCACGGGAATATATAAATATAAATATATATATATATATATATATATATATATATACATATTATTTTCTTTTCTT